GGGGTCCCTGCCTGCCCTCAGCCCCGTGGAAAGTTGTCCGCGACTCCTTTGCTGTCGCTGGGTCCCACCTTGGCCCTTCTGGCGGGAGTGAGGACGCGGGTTTGGCTGTAGGGAAGGGATATGAAGGGTATTTTTAGGCGCTGTGCGTGGTGGACTTCGTGTCCTCAGAGTTTGGGAAGCAACTTCGTGTTGCGAAGCTGGGGTCCCTGCCTGCCCTCAGCCCCGTGGAAAGTTGTCCGCGACTCCTTTGCTGTCGCTGGGTCCCACCTTGGCCCTTCTGGCGGGAGTGAGGACGCGGGTTTGGCTGTAGGGAAGGGATATGAAGGGTATTTTTAGGCGCTGTGCGTGGTGGACTTCGTGTCCTCAGAGTTTGGGAAGCAACTTCGTGTTGCGAAGCTTTGAGGGGGAATTTTTTTGGGAGGGTTGGGAAATTTCAGCCAGAGTGGGACACGAGCTTTGATTTTTGTCCCTTGACGCCTCAGTAGATCTGTGAGTTCTGTCACTTTCTCGGTTGTAAGTACTGAAAACGAAGAACGCCCAAAATTCAGGGCTTCACCCTCTTCTAGTCAAACTTTGGACCTTATGGAACACATACATGCTTTGAGACCTTGCAGAGCTGTCTCTAGAAGATTAATGCAAGCTGTGCTTTATGTTTGTCGCATTTTCCATATGTACAGGAGTGTAAGGAGGGAAACAGGGTGTAACACCATTTAAAAGAAAATGCTTTACATCAGCTTGTTGCAAATCAAGCCTGGTTTGGCTTCAAAGGAAGCCCGACAGGCTCAGACTTCATGTGTGACCCTGCAAAAATATTTTGGCCTGTCAGGTTCATGAGCTGAAAACACACACACATTTATACACATACAAATCATGTCATTTTTTATAGTCTGGAATTGAATCTTGGCTTTTATCAGTTCTGCTGTGACTACCTTAAGAACTCATGCACCTCAGTCTGTAAAATGAACATCTTCTGAATTAACTTGTATTTGGAAAATCTTTGGGTTTTTTTTCATAGCATATTCTTGGAAACTGTATCCTTAAAATCTGATAGAGTCATCTTGTTTCAAAACAGCCTCATGTGTTGCTGAGTAGAAAATGATGTCATTCTGATTATCTGTGTAATGCAAAGTAGACTTATCGTAGTTTGGTATGAAATTTCACAGACCTTGAAGAGGCCTCGATGTCCAAACGAGTGTCCCTTCATTTCAGGTGACTCAACAAGGCTAGTTGTTTTCTACAGGTTAACTTAAAGAGGAAAAGTAAATTATTTACTTGAAACCAGTAACATGATGTATATGCCACGTAATTCAATTATGTAACTTTTCATAAGCAGATCTTGCACTTATTTATTGATTTCTATTGTTGGTTTTCATCCCTTACAAATAAATGCCTCATTTTTTGTTAATGAGGATCTTTATGAAGCAAATCTTCCAGACCTCAGTTCATCTGTTTGTCATATACATGAGAGAAATATTTAGGGGATGTTATGTATTTTCCTTTTATAGTTCCTCCTAATATTTCAGAACTTCTCTGATGCAGAATTAGCTCTTTCAATGGAGTAATGATACTGCATTGAGAGCTGCTGTAGAGATAATGGGTTGTTTCTCTCACCTGTGTAATTGCTGGTACTTTATGCAGATGTGGCTGTTCTTTTCATCTGGAAATTATAAACATCTTTCTTCATTAATTCTCTTCTGTGTACAGTCAGTTTTATGTAAAACTGTTGTTGATGTACCCGGAGTGCTTCTGGTGTGTTACTAGGTTCTTTGGTATTTGCTGAATTTTATACTGCTGCCCTTGGATATCTTATATTTTCATTTATTTGTTTGTGGAAAAGTAAAATGTAAAGAAAATGGAGGAACTAGTTAGTAAGGTCCCCTGGGAAAATGCTTTTGAAGGTGCCAGAGTCCATCAGTGCTGGTCGCTTTTTAAGCACCATTTTCTAAAGGCAAAAGAACAGGCAATTCCAAAATGTTAGAAGTCAAGCAGACAAGGAAGAAGGCCGATGTGGCTAAGCAGGGATCTTCTCTTGGAACTAAGACAAAAAAAGAAATTATGCCCAGTGGAAGCAAGGTCAGGTGACATGGGAGAAATACAGAGATGCTGCTTGCTACTGCAGGGAGAAAAATTCTGCAGCCAAAGCTCAATTGGAGTTGAAGCCAGGCAGAAATGTGGGGGACAACAAAGGAGGTTTTTTAAACAGGTTAATAGCAAAAGGCAGTGGAGAAATTACACTGGCCTGTTACAGGGTGAGGATGGTCACCTCACAAACAGGTACCTGGGCAAGGCAGAGATGTTTAATGCTTTCCTTACTTTGATATTCAACACTGTTGGTAGGCCAAGGGGGTCCCAGTGCCCTAAGCTGGAGGATAATAAATTCCCGGTCAACCTGAGATCTGCTGCTCCAGCTAGATCCATATAAGTCTATGGGGCCTGATGGGATTGATCTGAGAATACTCGAAGAGCTGCCTAATGTCATCACAAGGCCCCTCTCAATGATTTTTTTGAATGTTCTTAGGAATCTGGAGAAGTCCCAGTTGATTGGACACTGGCTAATGTTGTCCTAATTTTCGAGAACGACAAGAGGGATAACCCTGGAAGCTACAGGCCTGTTAGTCTCATTTCAGTGACTGGTAAAATTATGGAGAAGATTATTGTGGGAGTTATTGAAAAACACCTGAAGGACAGCACAGTCATTGGTCACAGCCAGCACAGATTCACAGGGGAACGTCCTGCTTGTCAAACTTTATTTCCTTTTACAGCAGGGTAATCCACCAAGTGGACCGAGGGAAGCCAGTTGATGCAGTCTTTTTGGATTTCAGCAAAGCTTTCACTAGTGTCTCTCACAGTACCCTTCAGGACACAGTGTCTGGCACACAGCTGGATAAACATGTCCTGTGACGGCCACTGTCTCATGGGTTGGGCACAAAGGGTTATGGTGAATGGAATTACGTCAGGCTGGTGACCAGTCACTCGTGGGTTCTGCAGGGCTTCATCTGATGTTCAGTGCTCTTCAATATCTTCATAAATGACTTAGACCAGGACTTGAAGGAATACTAAGCAAGTTTGCCAATACTAAATTGGGAGGAGCTGTTGATCCTCTTGAAGGGAGAGAGGCCCTGCAGAGAGACCTAGGCAAGTCAGAGGGCTGAGCAATCACCAGCCATACAAGTTTAACAAAGACAAGTGGCAAATTCTGCACCTGGGACAGGGCAACCCTAGAAGTACGTACAGGGTGGGGGATGAGAGGCTGGAGAGCAGTGCCATAGAAAGGAACCTGGGGGTCATTGGCAAGTTGAATATGAGTCAGCATTGTTCCCCAAGAGCCAGGAGGGCCATCGTGTCCTGTGGTGCATCAGACACAGTATTGCCAGTCAGGTGAGGGAGGTGATTGTCCCAGTCTGCTCTGTGCTGGTGCTGCCTCACCTTGAGCCCTGTGGGCAGCTTTGGGCACTACAATATAAGGATGTAAACCTATCAGAGCATCCAAAGGAGGGCTGTGAAGATGGTGAAGGGCCTTGAGGGGAAGCTGTACGAGGAGTGGCTGAGGTCACTTGGTTTGTTCAGCTGGGAGAAGGGGGGGCTGAGGGGAGATCTCATAGCAGTCTACAACGTCCTCACGAGGGGAGGCAGAGAAGCAGGCACTGATCTCTCTGGCAACCAGTGATAGGACTAGGGGAACAGCATGAAGCTGTGTCAGGGTAGGTTTAGGTTAGGTGTTAGGACAAGGATTTTCACCCAGGGGGTGTTTGGGCACTGGAACAGCTCCCCAGGGAAGTGGTCATGGTACCAAGCCAGAAGGAGTTCAAGAAGCATTTGGACAATGCTCTGAGTCACATGATGTGGTTCTTGGGACTGTCCTGTCAGGTTAAGGAGTTGGACTTGATGATCTTTGTGTGTCCCTTCCAACTCTGAATATTCTGTGACTCTATACTGCAGAATTATAACAAGTTGATACTTGATAGCAAGCTTCAGTAGTTACTGACTTGAAACATGCATGGCAGCACTCTGAAGAACAGTCTGTCAGGTTTGCAGATAAACATTACCCTATTTACAGGCTTTTGAAGAGCTTATGGACTGAAATTTTTGTTGAAGGCAATTAAACTATAATATATATGCCTATCTTTTTAATGTAGTCTTTTTTTCTGGTGATTTTTGGCTAGAAGTAGATTTAATCCACAGAAAAAAAAGCATGTTCATTCTGTTTTGAAGAGAATAGTTGATTCTCTTTAGCATAATTATAAAATTAATTCTGGTTTATTGTTGTGTTGGATTTTTTTCCTAGAACTGAATTCCTACAAAAAATGTTGGTGGTGCAGATCTGACCTACGGTAATATCTTGAAAGAGTATGAATATTTCAGCAAACTGCCTCTTCAGTGGTTCCTCCTTAGCATCCCAAGTGCATGCTGCTGCTGTTAATGGAGATAAGAGTACCCTCCAAAAGCTAATAGCAGGTAAATGTTTTCATTGGATTACTTTAGAACCGAAGGGTTTTGGTTTTGACTTACAGCTTGGACCTTTAAGGTATGTTTTAATTTCTTGATTATGTGTATTTCTAGAATAAATGTAGCCCTGAAAATATGACTGATTTTTCTTACTTTTTATTGCCTGTTGCCTCTGACTGATAATTCTGTGTGAAGTAAAATAGAAAGTTGGTAAGTGGTACAACCAGAAGAGATATTCAGGACTGCTTTTTCAGGGAGTCAGAAATTCTGGAGAAGTGCTTTGCACTGAAATATTTTGGCTGTAAATCCTTATTTTTGGAGTTGCTTTTGTGGGAAGTTTGATGAACCTGTTTTTACAGATAATTTATTATAGTTAATGAAGTCTCATCACTGTATAGTATTTGTGAATAAAATGAGCCAGTCCTCTTTGTTACTTTGATTCTGATACACTGCCCATGTTTCTGTGGATAAGTTAAAGGTAAAGAGAGAGTCTGGTCCTATTGAAGCTGAAGTAAAAAAAAATTCCCATCCATTAGAAAGCATAGGATTTTGCCTTCCCTCTCTGTCCAGGAATGGTATGACATTCCAAGTTAATAGTTTTCAAAAGCAGTATATATCTGTCTTCCAAAAACAGTCTTGCATGTGTTTGGAAGGCTGCCATACAATAGGTGAAGATTTTGATTTTTCAGAGTTTCTGATTAAATACAATTCTGCCTGATAATTCTGATGTTTTATTTGCCTTTTTTTTGAAAATCCTGTGTTGCCTGATAATTCTGATGTTTTATTTGCTCAGCCTTTTTTTTGAAAATCCTGTTCCTGGAGCTTGCTGGGGTGAAGGACTGTGGGAAAACAAGAAATTGAAACTGTATTTATGCCATTAAATGAGTTTAATGACTGTAAAGAATTTAATGGTAATTACATTAAACCAACAGTCAAGTTTCTTTATGTATCTACTGCTGATCTCTGTTGAAGGCGTGATAGTAAGCTATGAAGATCTGTTGTCTAAGCTGTATAGATAGCAGTAGATGGTTCTTCTTTAAAAAGTGTATCTCATTTTCGCAAAAGATGATTAGAAGTGTTTTGACTTAGACAGGAACAGAATTGAGGAAACTGACTTTATGTTGGACCTGTTGGACCAGGCTCCACTGGTTAAAACAAGTATTTTTTTGTTGGGTCTTCAGTTTGTCATATGGTGGCTCAAATGTATACCATTTGCATTTTATGCTATGTTTGCTCTTTTGTAGAACATTTTATAAACAGCAGATGAGCAGTTGATATGGAGATGCTTCTAGAAATCTGTGGGATGCAACTACAAAGTAGCTTTAAATACTGGGGTTTCTAAAAAAACCTTCTGCCTGCCTGTGGAGGTGGAGAAAAAGAGCCTGAGCTTTCAAACCCTTGCTAACAATCAGAAGCAACAAAGAGTGTTTTGCTAACTTCAGTGTATTTTTGTTAAACTCACAGCCAAAAGATGTATTTTTGAAAACACAAAGGAAAAAGTATTTCCGTGTTGTCAAATACCCCACAAAACAGCCATAAGAACCAGATAAGGAAATTACTTTTCTTTTAATGATGATCATGAAGCAATACAATAAAAATGCTGTGTGTTACTTTTGCATTGCAGAGAAAACTGAACAATCCTTGCAGCCTTCACTATAATAGCAAAATTTGGCCTCTCTGCTTTGCTATGTTTTAGCAGGATATGACACAGACCTTACTTTTGCCAGGACAGGACCAAAAAAAAAAAAAAAGAGCAAGCATTGCCTAGCAGAAGAAGAATGCATCAGAGTAATATTTTTAGCTGTTTACCAGGCACTGTTGAAAGTATAAGCTGATGCCAGAAGCAAATTGAGCAATTGGTGCTATTCACCGAATTTCATGACTGCACTTAGCAGCAGCAGCTAATTCAGGACAGTACTTCAGCATTACGTGTGCTGTACGTGCTGAGTTGTCTAACAACATTTTCCTAACACAGCCAAGCTTTGCAGTTTTGCTTATGTAGGCAGTCGTATATGCAACAATGTAAAGCCTGACTTTCTCCTTCTTTTAGGGAGGGCTTTTTTAACCCCTAAATTCATTATCACTTTTCTCTTGTGCTTTCTGGGAAACTACAGACCAGTCAATCTCACCTCTGTGTCAGGCAAGATCACGGAGCAGATTCTCCTAGAGACTGTGCTAAAGCACGTGGAAAACAAAGAGGTGATTGGTAACAGCCAACGTGGCTTTACAAAGGGTAAACCATGCCTGACAAATCTGTGGCCCTTCTATGACAGGACCACAGCACTGGTGGATAGGGGTAGAGCAGCTGACATTGACTACCTGGACTTATGTAAGGCATTTGACACAGTCCTCATGACATCCGTGTCTCTAAATTGGAGAGACATGGATTTGATGGGTGGACCATTCAGTGGATAAAGGACTGGCTGGACGGTCACAAATGAAGAGTTGTGGTCAGTGGCTCATTGTTCAGGTGGAGGCCAGTGGTGAGAGGTGTCCCTCAGGGGACAGTGCAGGGGCCAGTATATTCAACATCTTTGTTGGCAACATGGACAGTGGGATTGAGTGCACCCTCAGCAAGTTCACTGACAACACCAAGCTGTGTGGGGCAGTCATACGCTGGAGGGAAGGGATGTGCCATCCAGAGGGGCCTTGACAGGCTGGAGAGGTGGGCAAATGCAAACCTCATGAAGTTCAATAAAGCGAAGTGCAACGTCCTACACTTGGGTCACAGCAATCCCAGGCACACCTGTAGGCTGGTCAAAGAAGTGATTGAGAGCAGTCCTGCAGAGAAGGACTTGGGGGTGACAGTTGATGAAAAACTCACCATGAGCCAGTAGTATGCGCTTGCAGCCCAGAAAACTAATCATATCCTGGGCTGCATCAAAAGGAGTGTGGCCAGCAGGTCAAAGGAGGTGATTCTCCACCTCTACTCTGCTCTCATGAGACCCCACCTGGAGTACTGCGTGCAGTTCTGGTGTCCCCAGCATAAGAAGGACACGGAACTGTTGGAGCAAGTCCAGAGGAGGCCACGAGGCTAAGAGGACTGGAGCATCTCCTCTATGAAGACAGGCTGAGGGAGTTGGGGCTGTTCAGCCTGGAGAAGAAAAGGTTGCTTGGAGACCTCATAGCAACCTTCCAGTGTATGAAAGGCCTACAGGGAAGCTGGAGAGGGACACTCCATCAGAAACTGTAGTGATAGGACAAGGAGTAATGGGTATAAATTGAAAGAGGGGAAATTTAGGTTAGATGTTAGGAAGAAATTTTTTACTGTGAGAACGGTGAGACACTGGCACAGGTTGCCCATGGAGGTTGTGGATGTCCCAGCCCTGGCAGCATTCAAGGCTAGATAGGATAAGGCTTTGAGCAACCTAATCTAGTGGGAGGTGTCCCTGCCCATGGCAGGCAGGGTTGGGACTAGGTGATCTTCAAGTACCATTTCAAACCCTTTACATTCTATGATTCTATGACTCCCTATTCAGTTATTAACATAGGAGGGGCATAGAGGCTGGCTAAAAGCTCCATTAGAGCAGCCCCTATAACCTCTTTGGTGATTATACCTTTTCCCATCTCTATCTTGGTGGAGTCTGTGTGACTGTATACAAACATACACATTGTATTTGCATATAGTTATGAGGATGGATGGATTTTAAAGAAACAGGTGTTTGAGATAGTATGGTGTGCTCTGGACACTGTGTTCCTTTTGACATCCTTTGCCAGAAAGGCACAGACAGAGTCAAAGGTAAACAGAAAATTTATTTAGAGAAAGGGGACTGTAGTACAAAGTGTCTCTGTATGTTAACCACTGCCAATGCTTCGTTACAGGGCTTTCTAAACTGCCTATGGGCATGAGGTACAGTACATGCCAAGTGTTAATTGTATGGCCAGTGTTCTAACCAATGTGAGCTATTTGCATTGCATGAGTTGTCTAGTACTGTATCACATTGTTTTACAGTTGTGTGTTCTCAGGCTTTGGGGGATGGTGACAGGTTTTTTTCTTTCCTGTGTTTTATACAACACTGAACTTGCCTTTAATTAACAGTTCTTCAGTGTTAAAACCCATCTGCATGATTTTAATCCTGGGCAAAATAGGAGCAAAAGTTAATTTTGTGTTTGGAGGATCATTTTGCGTTTAACACTTTTATGCAGAGTTTTGGGAAGATGCATCTAATTGTTTTAATTGTTTATAGGAACACAATTATGTTTATAATAGTCATTATACTGAAGTGTCTGTTCAGTCCAATTCTAAACCCCTTATTATGCATTGCTTGCATACAAATGCTTCTAAATCTGTGATGTGATGTTTCGCTGTAAATGTTGACTAAAATCTGGGTTACAAATATGCAGTTGCATGTTTTTGTTTGAGTCACCTCTCTGCTTCTCTCTTCCCTGTTTTGCATTGTGGGAGGTTGAATAAAGCTCAAATCAGATATTGCAGAAGGCAAGATTCTTGGAAGCGACAAGAGATGGTCTGTCGCTTAATAATTAAGCAGGATTCACATCCTCCTGCTGCCTCTTCTCCTTTTTCTGGTTTGAAAAATGCATAGAAATGTCAAGAGTCTGATAGGACTGCTTGCCTAGACTGTGGGGAAGTGATGAGGTATGGATACGAGAGTTAAATTCTGGAAGAGAGCCACTTGATTCTGTGGTGTTCACGGCCTCAATTGGCAACAAGCTTATGGAATTCATACTCTGGTGGTGTGAGGATGTTGATCCTGAAAGGGGAGGGATCAAACTTCCTTTCTTAGACAGATGTGTGAAGAGAATTTATTTTTGCCAAAGCATATTTTAGGTACACTAATATGTGAATGTTTCAAAGGCTACCTGTGCTTACTTGATTCCAGAAAATAATGTACTGCAGCTGTAAAGTCCACAAAGTGTTGTGATTAGTGAATCTCATCAGCTTAGTCCCCCTCTTAGCACCTGATGGTGAAACAGTAGCTCCTGGTCCTTGTCTTAGCCTGAGGGCAGAGACGCCCTTTTAGGGAAATGTCCACGGGACTTTTAACCATTCTAAGGGCCTTAGAATCTTGTAAGCAAAAGGAATAATAACAAGAAGAAACCTAGCACTAGCTGAAGATAGTTTCTTTACCTTAAAAACCAGTGCAGGAGCTTCAGGCAAATTACTGGCATCAGGTTTTTAAGGTCTTGCTCATTTTTCACTCAGACTGTCTGCAGTCATGGAAACTCTTTGTCATCAGCTACATCACTTTCTGGGAGCTGTAAATGAAAATAGATGTCTGTTGTTCTACTTAGGTGGGTTGCCACTTGAGCTTTAGGCCATTTTTGCTTGTCTTGACCTCACCCATTTTTTTGTTTTAGTCTCTACCTTTTAAATATATATCCTCTAACATTATGTAACAGAAAGGCAACTGGAATTTGAGGGAGAGGTACTGATTTTGCGTACTGCTGATTTAAGAATGAATGTTATCTAAGCATAAGCTACGTGCGTCTGTCTTACTGGAAGAAATGCATGTTTATGTATTTATTTTAAAAATATATGTGGGTGTGCAAGTCCCATCAGCTTCAACAAATTTAAGATGCTATTGAAGCTACGTTAACACTTAGCAGTGAAATGTGGTTTAGTGACATCTAAATTACCATGTTGAACTAAGATTGGAAGAACACCTGACTACACTTAGCTAATTAGGGAAACTGGCTTGTTGGCTGGGAGCAGTGGCACCTGAAATTAGGCTTTGGAGCTCAGTGTCTGCATATTGCTGCACTGGGCTGCATGGGTGGTCTTAATGGCCTTTGGTGTTGCTGTGTTCTGCTGAATGGAAAAAGCAGTTATTGTTAGCTTAAATATTGAGGTGTAAGACATTGACAGCCTCGCACTAGGTATGTATTACTTTTTAAATACTTTTTTTTCTATTAGTAGAGGAAAGAATTACCTGCATCCAGTTTGTAATGAAACTTTAATGCTGTGTAATGGAAGTCTATCAAAAGTTTTTACAAGTTAGGGCAAATAAAGAATTTTGGATTCCTCTATTTAAATCAATGTTACATTTGGAATTATTTCCTTATGCGCATGGAATTAACTAAACATGTGACATAATTTTTTTTATATATACACTGCTTTTTAATGCACTTAGGAAATATTTCAACTTGTAACTTTGAGCTGAAATAAACATTTATGGTCTTCAATAATAAGCTAATAAAGAATTAGAGTCTTCAATAATGAAATTAAGCTGCAACTTAAATGAGTACTTAAAGGCAATACATTAGCTTGTGTCTCAAAAACTGTTGATAAAAATTAGAATTTTAAAGTGGTGTCAAATATGTAAATAATGTTAGTAAAAATTACATATTTTTCACATAAAAATGTAGTTATATGGAAATAAATAATAATCCAAAGGTGTTTCAACTTACACAGCTTTTAACTCCGTTAGAAACATTTCAAGTTATTTTTGTAAGTTTTTAAAGTTATGTTTAAAACTGCTTCCATAAAATAAAGCTTTTTTGCTATCAATTGTTTTGATGTGAAGCATAATGAATAAGATACAGCCAATACTTTACCTTCTCCTATTCTAAGCAGAGTTCAGCCCAGATTCTAGCATGGGTTTTCTGCAAACCTGCACAGAAATCACCTGAGTAAGTTTACAAGTATAGTTTTCTATGATTTGCTTTATTGTTTGATTTTTCTTTGATATAAAAATGTACTTTGGTCGTTTATTTATTGGAAAAATCCAAGACTTGGCTGTTACACTCATTATGAGAAGGTTTCTAAAGGAAAAAATGAGGAAAAGCTGACAATGCTTCATGCAGTTCCCAGTGGTATATCTACAGAAGATAGAATTCTAGCTGGTTTCTACCTTCATTCATGCAATCATATGGTAGGAAAAGATGATATCCTATTCCAACTGATTGAAGTTTCATAGAAATTCAAAACAAACGTAGGTATTTTTCTACATATGTGGAAGTCTAAAAAAAATTACGTAGACAAACTTGGCTGTCGTATTTTAAACAAGGTGATTGATCATGTGGTGAGAATGTGAAATCCATGGAAGGGAAGGCATTGATATGGGCGATGCTTTTTTTCTGTGTTTTGTATTCTGATGTCTATGGAAGCCTGTAGGTGGAGAAGTGGTGATACACATTTAAAAGCCAAAGCAGAAAACAAGTATTTGATTTGATTAAGATTAACAAACTTGCCATAATCAAGCTTGAACACACACACACAAAATAACTCAAACCAAAAAATGCTTAATGGTTGCAATTACAGGTCTAAATAAGAAATGACAGTCCATTTTGTTCCTGTGTGTCTGACGAGGTGGTGGTATGCGTGACATGCTAAAGGAGATTGGGGAGTATGAATTGACAGGAAACAGTAGTAATGAAGGTTACTGTCATAAGTTTTGGGTGAATGTCTATCGAGGATATCATCCTAAAACTAAAACGTTAGAAATATGTAGCAGGCTGGCAACAGACATTTCCGTGAACCCAGAACAGAACCAGCTCTTGGGTTGCTCTTGACTGCTATGTAGGACCTGAATCAGTGTTACTAAGTGAGGTTTTGTAACTCTTCGCCAAAGTATACCTGAACTAGCAACAGCAGCCAGTTGGGTGTGAACTCTTAAAAATGGTGAAGGACTTTGAAATGAAAACTCTTCCTATGAAGAATCTGAAGAGTCAACTCCTTGCTTGCAGCCTGAAGCAAATGCAAAGGCACTTGACAAAAGAAAGGTCTAGGGAGGTCAAAGCGAAATGAGCAGGCTAAACAGCAGTGTGAGGGTGGGTATTGAAAAGCAAGAAGGTGTTCATAAAACAGCCTGTGTCTGAGGAAGGTAGATGGCAGGTCAGTAAAAGACTTTTTACTTCTTTTTATGAGTAATTTGCTAGAGGCATAAAAATTAGTTGTAAAACTGGTGGATTATCAAGGTGAGGTGTGGCAGTCAGAGAAAACAAGGCCACAGGTGAGGAATAAAAATGATTTTTCTCTATCTGCATTATGGAAGAATTTGGAAATGTTCTTAAACTGCTTTTTGCAGAGCAAAAGGAATTTTCTCAATGGAAATCAGAATTTCAAGGCAAGAGAAAGTGTAACAGAATGAGTAATGTGATTAACGTGGTATTCGGTCTAGTTTTAAAGGAACTAAGAAGTGGAGTGAGCAAGTAAACGATTGCTTTAACTGACAATGCCCTACTTAACAGTGTTTTTTGTAAGAGGCTTGATTGGTAAGGAATGAATTTGAGTTCTTGATATTCCACTTGATTCATAGTTAATCTGCTTAATTATTCTGCTGGATGAATCAATAGAAATGATAATTAAGAATACAATTATTGGATATGTAGGTAAGTATAATATGCTGAGAGAGAGCAAAGACTGTGTAAAGAAGCAGCATGCCTCTGCTGGAGTTTTTTTGTAGCATCAAAAATCATGCAGACAAAGGAATAATTAAAAAGCAAAACTAACTTACTGTAAAGTTCAGTGTTCCTTGAGTAATTGTAGACAATATTGCTACATGGGAGATCTGGAGAGCTGGGATGCATAGGGTAATTGATACCCATGAAGTGAAAGGTGCTAGTCTTTATGTGGTGATTTAATAGGGGTATGAGACTTTATAGTGAAACTGTTTTGTTTGCTGTTGGGTTTTTTTTGACTGTGAATAGTGTTTTGATAATTCTTTTTAAACAGTATCTCAGACTTCTTATTTAGCTAAATACTGCATTACTAACCTTATCAGCCTAAGAAAGCTTGAGACGTGTTTGAGTAGTTTCCATATTGTAAGGCGCCATGAAGTAAATAACAGTATTGTTGTAATATTGACATTTATGCTTTTAAAATAAATCTTGCTGTGAGTAGGCTTCAAAGCTTCCTTTAGTTACAGTGTTTACAGATTTCAGAAGGACTATTTTATGTGCTGTTGATAATTTTTTAAACTCATCTTCGCAGCCAAGATCTCTAACTATTTAAAAATAATTCATAATTATCCCACAGCAGAATGTTACTGGTGGTAGGTGTATTTATGAAACTAATGTTTCCTGAATGTATTTTTTTTTGTAAATATATTTTGAAATGTTCTGTAAATTTCAGTAAAAGCAGGGTAGAAAGTAGTAACTTTGAGTTTATCATATACTCCATTATTTTGATCACCCTGCTCATATTATAATATCTTCTTAATTAAAAACTGCTACTTTTAGTTGGATACTAATAGACTTAACTGTTTTAAATGAGCTTGGTTTTTTGTTTGTTTATTGGTTTTTTTGTCTTTTCTTTAGGAAACTCTGAGCTGAAGGATAAAGAGGACCAGTTTGGAAGAACTCCACTTATGTACTGTGTATTGGCTGACAGGCTGGACTGTGCAGAGGCATTGCTGAAGGCTGGAGCCGATGTTAATAGAGCTGATCGCAGCCGAAGAACTGCTCTTCATCTTGCTGCACAAAAGGTAATTACCTCACAAGTGCTCAGCCAGTGTGTAAACTTCACTGGATTATGCAACAGGCTGTCAGTCATTCACAGGCATTCACTACAGGTATGAGGTAGGTTGACTTTGGCTGGACACCAGGTGCCCACCAAAGCCACTCTATCACTCCTCTCCTCAGCTGCACGGCAGGGAGAAAATATAGCAAAAGGCTCATGGCTCAGGATAAAGACAGGGAGAGATCACTCAACAGTTACCATTACTGGCAAAACAGACTTGACTTGGGAAAATTACTGTGATTTACTGCCAATCAAATCAGAGTAGGATAATGAGAAATAAACCCAAATCTTAAAACCATCTTCCCCACACATCTCTCTTCTTCCTAGGCTTAACTTCACTCCTGAATTCTCTACCTCATCCCCAGTGAGAGGTGCAGGGAAACAGGGGTTGTGGTCAGTGCATCACATGCTGTAAATCTCTAGAGGGTTATTTTGTAGTGCTTTTACTGAGTGTATTTGTAGCTGTCTGCAGAGACAGTATAACACGTTGCTGTTTAAAGACTTTGTACTTTCTAGGAAAAATAGTCCTTGTCTATTTTGGGATAGACAGTTGTATTAAAGACTGAATCTTGTACACTCTGATATGCCTTAGGATGTTACTATTACTTTCAGTGGATATAAGGCCATACACTGTTAATTAATAATGCTGTGTCTAAGAATTTATATATTCTTGGTATATGGAATACCAAATAATTTTCAGGCTCAGGAGGGAAATGCATTACTGTCTTTTTCCTTCTACAGTCTCAGTC